TTCATATAAAATTTACACTTAAAAAAAAACTATAGTATTCTATAGCCAGTGTAAAAAAATCACAAAATTTAACCGATTCACTTTCTCAGCTTGCAAAGCACCAATATGAAATTATGTATCAGGAACAACCGTTTTCTTCAAGGTTCTCTTGCACATTGTACTTTGTATTCTATAGGAAATTATCATATGAGTTCTCTGTTAATTCACTAATTAATATAGTTAAAGAATCATTTCCAACTTGGCTGATAGCAAAAATATCTATGTGATTATGTATGTGTGTGTGTGTGTGTGTGTGTGTGTTGCTTGGGATTGAACCCAGGACCTTGCACATGTTAGGCAAGTGCTCTACTACTGAGTTACACACCCTGTTCTGTGTTTGCCTTTCTTAAATAAATCTTGCTTCCTAGAAATAAAGGAAACCTTTCTAGAAATAATTAACTAATGTTTTGACTGAGTAGAATACAATAGTTTAAAAAATAGTTAATGTCTGATACTAAACCCTTAAAGCATAACTCATGTATACACACTATGATAGGAATTTTATAAATATATTATATTTTTACTGTTGACTAGTGTATTCATTCAAATTTTCAGCTGGTGAGATTTTAAAAGAGTTCTTCTAGAATTAAAAGCATCTTACTACAGTGCATACCCCATGTTTATAGCAGCACAATTCACAATTGCCAAACTATGGAACCAGCCTATATGTCCATCAATGGATGATTGGATAAAGAAAATATGGTATTTTTACAAAATGGAGTTTTATAAAGCCATAAGGAAAAATGAAAGAATGTCATTTGCAGAGAAATGGGTAGAACTAGAGACCATTGTGTTAAGGGAAATAAACACAGAAGGTTAAGGGTCATATGTTTTCTCTCATATTTGAAAGCTAGAAAGGAAAAAGAAAAAGAAATGTGGGGGTGGATCTCCTAAAAATCAAAGTGAGATCAGTAGAGAAAAGAGACCAAGGAGTGGGAGGCAGTGAGGGAGGAGTGAAATGATGGTGAGTGATATTGGCCAAATTATACTGCTATATTGTGTGCATGTATGAATATGTAAGAAATCCCATGAATATGTACAACTATAATGCACCAATAAAAACGAGGAAATAAAAAATAAAAAATACTAAAAAATTAGAACAGAGTTTTTCTGGGATGAGGCTAGAAAACCATGTAGTTGCTAAATAAAGCACTGGGTTTCACAAGAGTGCTCAAATGCCTTTTCATTTGCACAAATTGTACATATCCAAATAAACTAGAAGAAAGCTTTAGGTAATGAGTCTTCTTTAATTTTGGTCATTAAAAATAAGATTGAAAGGACTTCCATGGTTAATAACATAAATGTGATATTAGCTAAAAAAAATTAGGATGTAACTATTGGATCCATTTGAACTTTGTTTCCTGAATAAAATTACAGTTATAAGTTGATTTTTAGTTGCTGATGACTTATTTTTAAATGAATCTACCTATTTGTGACAATACTTTAAAAAGAAAGCTAATCAAATTCATAGTTATGGTGTATATGTCAAGGAAGAGATGGCCCACTGTTAAACATTGCATAACTGAGTGGATGAGAGGACAGTCACTAATTATGATTTTGAAGTATATTGCATGACTAAAACAGAGCTTGTCATATGTTATTTCTAAGTTAGCCATCACTTTATTATTGTCTTTTAGACCATAGCTTAGGCTGAAATTGCAAGGCCTATGAATGACCACACTTTCTCTCTCCAAACTTATTTTTTGTTACTCCAAAAATCACAAGTCTTCTTGTGATCTCTAATACCTACTCATTCATATCCTTGTGTCTGAGTTTATGTAGTTCCCTCTATTTTCCTACTCAATTCTATACTTCATCTGATTTCTGAATCAATAAATGATTCATAATCACAATTTGTTCAGCAGTTAATAAGTCAAATCCCAAAGAAAAGAAAGCATGCTCCTGGTGTTACATGATCTCTTGGAGGTGGATTCTAAATTATGTGACTTTTCTGTTTTTTGACAGCAAAGTCATTAATTGGTCTTTTTGAATAAAATGTTTGAATAATCTTGTATGAGTGTCTTCTCTGCATCAGGTTCTGTACTAAGTCCTTGGATTGTGGGAAGGATAGAGAGACAGTCTCCTTGGGCTTCTCAAAAAAATTAAAAATGGGCCAGGCATGATGGTGCATGCCTGTAGTCCCAGTGACCCAGAAGGCTGAGGCAGGAGAATTGCAGTTCAAGGCCAACCTGGGAAATTTAGCAAGACCCTGCCTCAAAAAATAAATAAGTAAAAAGGACTGAGGATATAGCTCAGTAGTAAAATGTCTGTGGGTTCAATCCCCAGTACTGCAAAAAAAAAATAATTAAAAATAAAACTACCATATCACACAGCAATCCAACAACTACTGGGTATATACCCCAAAGAAATGGAATCAGTATGTTGAAGACACATCTATCTCCCATGCTTATAGCAGCATTATTCACAATAGCCAAGAAATGGAAACAATCTAAGTGTATATCCATCAACAGATGAATGGTTAACAAAGATGTGGTACATATACACAATGGAATACTATTCAGCCATACAAAGAATGAAATCTTTTCATGTGCAACAATATGGATAACTTGAGAACATTATGTTAAATGAAATAAACCAGTCACAGAAAGACAAGTGTCACATGATATAACTCTTATGTGAAATCAAAATTTGATCTCATAGAAGTTGAGAGTAAAATGGTGGTTCCTAGAGAGGATGGAGACAGTGGGAGCTGGATGGTGAAAAGTTGGTCAGTGTGTATTAATTTACACTTAGGAGCAAGAAGCTCTGGGTGCACTGTTGAGTAGTATGATAACTGTAAATAATAATTCCATATTTTATGTATAAAAATCTAGAAAAAAGAATTTGAAAGTTTTCACTATAAAGAAATGATAAACGTTTGAGGAGATAAAAAAAGTTTATACTGTCCTAAACACTACATAATGTACATAAATGAATCAAAACATCATGTTACCCATTAACCTATACATTTTATGTTTTATGTATGAGTTAAAATATATTTCTAAAACTTTAAAAAAGTCCCCCTGTCCTCAAAGAACTCACAGCTTAGAGGACTATAAGCAAATGACCTTACACAATGGAAAAAGATCAAAGGGTAGCATAGGAATAGAGAGCGGAGGCATTCAAACCTAGTCTTTGGTAATACAGGAAGAACTGTTGTGGAATAACCTGGAAAAGGAGACACCTAAGCAGAGTCTTAAAGGATGAGTAGTAGTTACCCAAATAAAGAAGAGGTGGGAATTTCCAGAAGAAGCAATCGCATGAGCAAAAGCACAGAGGTGAGAAACGAAACAGTATGTACAGGATAGGACATACAAACTTAAGAGTATGAGATAAAGAATGACAAGAGATGATAGTAAAAAGGCAGAAGTCAAGTCATGAAAGGCCATGCCTGGCAATGGGAATACCACCCCCTACACAAACAAACAAAATACATTCTTTAAAACATCTTTTATTTTATTTTTTGCTTCAAGTGCTCTAATCTCAAAGGTGATTGAAACTTCTGTACTGTGTAACATACAGGCAAAATTGCTTTTTGTTCTCTCTAAATATAACTTACCTCTGAATTTTGATCCCCATAATCTTTCTATCCTTAGGGTTTCTAGTCTCTTTCTACTCTTTCAGTTACCAACAGTTGGTGGTGGCCCATGATGGGTCCCTTTCATTTCTTCAGGACTTTGATAGTTTGGTAAATGCTGTTAGATTTACTTTTCAGCTCACCCTTTTATAAAGAGTTCTGTGGGCCCTTCACTTTACCCTCTCTACCATAATAATTTCATTTTAACCTTTAGGCACATGTCAGTACTAGGTAGTACTAAAAGGCACATGCTCATACTCTTTCTTTTTCTCATGCTCGTGTGTGTACACACACACACACACACACACACACACACACACACACACACACCAGTCTGTTAAATTCAAGACCAAGCTACCTGAAACGTATTGATACTTTTTCTTTCAAACTTCCCTCATGGACTTTCCTTTACTTCACTGGACTCCTGAAGGCGTATTTCTATTGCAAATGGAACTTTCTTGTCAGCCAGTAGGAACAAAGGACCTTAACATAGGATATAGAATCTGGCTGTTTGCTGGTTCCTTTGTGTGCAGGAGTTTGTGCTATGTTTCACAGAACTACTTATTGGATGAATTATGTTTAAATTATTTGAGTTTTCGATGAAAACAGCATTTTAATAATAATTATTTCCTCCCCACTCAAACTGGGATGTTTCCTTACAGTTTACTTTCTAGGCCTCACCCTTCTTGCAGAGTCTAGTTCTTTTGTTAGGTTAGAATTTCCCATAAACCTGCTCAATAATTTGTTTGTGTTTGGCTTCATTGAAATACTACACAAAGCAATCCTTGTAAAAGGCAAAACTGTCCTGAAGGCGGAGAAAGAAGCTTGAGACATAGACTCAAAGTCACTCTTTTCAGGCAGAGCCAGCTGGGTAATCTTATCTTAGCTGGCTGTGATTCAAGGTGCCCAATTCAGGGGCTTTCCCTCTGGGAGCACTGTCTGCCCCAGGGGATGAAAAGCTTTCTAATGAGGGGCAAATATTTGGGAAATCTGAGGGCCCAGGGCGGTATGGTCTGTTTAGGGGAATCTTGAGGAACAGAATTGGCCCCACAGACTGTGTCTCTCCCACCTTCCAGAATCAGGGTAGATCAGCACTTGGCCCCAGGACAGAGACCAGACTGAGAGGCGAGGTTAGGAGGAAGCAAGGAATCCAGGAAAGGAGGCAAGATTGCTAAGGCACCTGCACAGCTCTGAGTCAAAGGCTGTCAGTCATCCTAGCTCAGGCAGCTCTGCTTGCTCGCTCACAGCCCAGCCCTTTCCTGGGGCCGGGGCAGGGAATTGCTACATGCAGGATTACCTGGGGAAAAACCTGAGCCTCACTTAGGTCCCTTCCGGTAATTGACACGACTGGAAGCCTGGGAGGGGGAAGGGAGAGCTTCCCTCCATAAATGGTCCCACCCCTGGGCAAGGTGGCTCACTCTGGCAGGTAGGAACGGGGGAGTGTGCACCTGCTACCAGTCAAGCTCAGCCCGACTGTGAGAAGAGGCAAGGCGGAGCAAGCTGAGGCACTGAATGAACCATGGACAAATTGAAGTGCCCCAGCTTCTTCAAGTGCAGGGTGAAGGAGGTAGGGGTCTGGGAGCTGCTGGAGGTGTGGAGGGCCTGGGAAGGGAAAACTTAAGAGGGAGGGTTAGTTAGGCTTAGGTTTTGCCTTCTGTGGCTGCTCCTTGTTCTCTTCATTTCTGTTCAATTATCTTCAGGTGTGCCTGAGATAGCCCCATAGAGTAGAGGAACAAGAGAACAGTTCTTATTTAGGCAGCTAGGAGACTTAGAACTACCTCAGCCTGGGAAGTGTCTATGAAATCCTGTTCTCTGTCCGTCTCTAAACTGTGGCCATATGCTGGAGGGTAATGTGAAAGTGCACTGTCCTTATCTGACCTAAGAAACCTTGATACCCCAGAGCACTTAATAGGTTGAGAGAGAACCCCTCTCCTCCCACTTACAAGTGCAGAGAGAGTTGCTCCACCTGGTGGGACAGGAAAATTGTCTCTGCATATTATTCTGTGGCTTTTTGATTTTATGCTCCAAGACAGGGAAGAGAGGTTAAACTGCCCTCAACTCCAAACTTCCAAAATGGTCAGCACATAAGAAAGGGAGTATGTGAATTGTTTTTTTTTTTTTTCCAGTAGAAACTACATTTGATCCTTCTTCTCAAAGATCTGCTACAATCTGAAGAACATTAACTTTTCCTAATTCATTCTTAAGACTTTTGTACTTGAAACCTGTTTTGTCCTCTTCTGTTTGCCTTTTATGCTGGCATGACATTTAACCTTTTCACTAAACTTTGGACGATTTAAGCTGAAAGAGTAGTAGAAATATCTACCTACAGACTTTTTTCTCGAGGGAGAAAATGTTGAGTAAATGCAGCTACCAGCAGAAATCTCTCCTATTTTGGAGAGAATTTCCCTTGGATAGGATGTACACAGGGTTTGTTCTTTCTTTTCCTCCATTTCTGTAACTCTATAGATTTTTGAAATTATGCTTCTGTGGAATTTGTAATGGTAGAAAGATATTTTTTTCCTTCCTCAGAAGGTGACGGCTTCATCTGAGAATTTCCATGTTGGTGAAAATGATGAGAATCAGGACCGTGGGAACTGGTCCAAAAAATCGGATTATCTTCTATCTATGGTTGGATATGCAGTGGGACTGGGAAATGTGTGGAGATTCCCATACCTAACCTACAACAATGGTGGAGGTATTTTTTCTTCCTCTTTTTCCTTCAGTTACAATTGGGGTGCCTCTGAGGACACTTTAAGAGCTAATAAAGGTATACAATAGTTTCAGTTAGTGGAAGGATGAAAAACAAACATACTACCTGTATTATTAGACTGTGAGTTTACTGGCTCAAATTAGGAATCTTGTTTCAAAATATTCTCAAATATAAACTTGATAAGTTTTCTCTCATTTCTGAACTTCTGATTTAAGTTCCCATATAATCTTCAACTAGGACTTTAAAAAATGTGTACATCTTCCTGTGAAAAATCTGTTCAAATTCAAGTTGTTAATTTATTTATAGCTAAATCAAAGAAAAAAAGGGACATATAGTTCTATTATGAGACTCAAATGAATTGTTTGCTTAACTAAAACAAGGCATTACATTTTGTTATTTTAACTGTGGAAAGAGATGATAAATGTAATTAAAGGTTTAGTATTTTTAAATTGCAATCTTTGGTTATACATATTCCAAATTAGATTGACTATGTAGGAGATCCTTCTAAGATGCAACAGAGTTTAGTTCAAGGCTATATGTTTTATTCTTGCAACATCATTAAAGTAGGATCAATTAGAAAAAAAATAACTGAGGTGACATGCAAAGGGAAACAAAATGAATTGCACAATTCTTTAGAAATGTTGAAATATCTTTTCACTTACACCATATTTATTTACTTATAATTGCAGGTTATATTAGAAGTGTAGAGGTGACATGCCATCATATTTCATAACTGGGTACCAGTGAATGTGTGCCACTATAATTATTTTTCCTTGGTACAATAAGATTTTCTGTGATATTTCAATGTTCCATTTCAATGTTCCGTTTCTTGCTAATTTGATGAATTAAAATGTTCACACTCTCCTTCAGATACTTAAGAAATCAGATCTTTACTAAACACTTTAAGTGTAGGTAGCATAAAATCCTCTATGTAGGACTTAGGTCATTCAGTAGTGGGTTTGATGTAAGAGTTGGCAAATGAGTCAGAAATCCCAGTCCTTTTGGTGTCTTATGTCCTAACGTCCAGTGTGGTGAAGAGAAGCATTAGGCTCCTTTTGAGCTTCTTGACCTCACCGATTTGAATAAGAAATTCCCTTTGATTTGACAGCACACATACACTGAACAATTGCCATTAATTTCTAGGAATTGCATAAACTAGTTGTAATTGAGAATTTTAAAATATTGCCAAAACAAAATAGTATTATTTAGCATATGCGTTTATCTTTTTTTTTAACCATTTCCTTTAAAAGTTGATATGCCCTATTGACTCTCAGTTTTTAAGATATCATTTGGGTCATAGATGATCTAGGCTCTCTCAATTCCTTCTTTTTTTTTCACTCAAGGGTAGAAATGTAACACGAAATTCGAATTTGTTAAATGTTAATTGATCAGGTTTAAGAAATATGGTCAGGTTTGGAAAACTATTGTAAATCTGGAACGTTTTAATCTGTAGATTCTTTTTAACAGTTTATGAAAGAGAAAGTGTCATGTTATCTTAAGATCTAGACCAGCAGTATTAATAGTATGTGGCCACTATGTTAACAACTTATCAATCATAGTCATCATTGGTCATGAAATACAATAATAGGTGAAAAGTCATATATAAAACTAAGGAAAATAATCACTTTTAAAAAAATATCTGTCCACACAAGGCTAGTAAAACTTTATTATTGTAGGTAATCAGTAATTTTTTTCTTCATATTTATCTTTGGTAGGACTTAAAATTCTGTTAGTCATATTAGTGATGGTATACCCATTGCAACATCTATTCAAACATTCTTCCCTATGTCTTCCAGGGTTAGCATTAAAGTAAAGCCACTTAAATATGAGTCTGTACTTGATTGTCTCATTTTACATAGACTCTATTTTAAGGGCTGGAAAACATATAATTCATAGTTATGATGTTACAGTATCTTAATATGAAAAATACTTGAGGAAAAACTATAGACATGAGTAAATGAAATGTATCTAATCCTATTTTTATTCACATTGCTTTTATTAAACTTTGCCAAGACATTCAGAATATTTGACTAATAAGTTTAATATTCTGTCTCTGCTTCAATTTAAAATCTGGTAAAGGTTTTAATGAACAATATTATGCCCAAAAGCAGACAGAAAGAAAACAAACTATTAAAAAGTTTTAAAAGGGGTTGGGGTGGGGGAGAAGGGCTGGATAATTTAATATGGAAGAATTAATTTCTCTGAAATTGAAAGTTAACTATTCAGTTTAGATTATTCTCTCGAAACCAACAAATTTCTTATTGAGTAAAGAGTCTCATGGCTATTTTGAGAATAATGAACTTAATCATAATAACTTCCACTCTGAACCACATTTAGCATTTGTACCCTGTATTAAAAATTGGCGATTTATATGCCTGACATGTTGTCAACTGTTTTTATATAGGCCCAGTATTTGAACCCTTACCCCAAATTGTTGAGTTGGTATTGCTCTCCACTTTTATGAGGTGCACAGGGTTTGTAGGTTAGATAAACTGCCCCAGGTCACATAACTAAGAAGTGATAGAGGCAGCATTTTAACCTAAGTCCCTCTGGCTCCATACCTGTGTTCATTCAACTCCTCTAGTTTACATTTATAGACTATTATTTTTAATAATTGAAACCACTTCATTAGGTACTAGCATGACCATTTCATAGATGAGAAATCCAAGGTTTAGAGAATCATAGAAAGTAGTAAATTTGAGACCCACACCTGGAACACATTGATTCTACTGTATCAGGACACTTAAAATGTTATGCTGGTTGTCAAAATGCCATGAAGATTTTGAAATGTAATAGCATTTTTGTTCTTTTCTGCCTTTTCTAGGTGCCTTCTTGATACCTTATGCAATTATGCTGGCATTGGCTGGTTTACCTTTGTTCTTCCTAGAGTGTTCATTGGGACAATTTGCTAGTTTAGGTCCAGTTTCAGTTTGGAGGATTTTGCCATTGTTTCAAGGTAGGTTTGAAAACATTTTCAGCATCATGCTTATTAGTCAATGTGTATATATAGCTGCATTCACTATGTGGGAGAAAAAGTGTTAAAATTTGGACATGTTTGATCTCATAGAATGTGAGAACAGAATGGTGGTTACTAGAGGTTGGGAAATAGATGAAAAGATGTATGGGTAGAGTTAGGAGAAATAAGTTCAAGACATCTATAATCTACAACTCTGTAATTTTAGAAGTCATAGCATGGTGACTATATTGATGCCAATAGTATACTCTCAAAGATAGACTAGAGATTAAGTGTTCTCACCAATTAAATGGCAACTATGTATGTAATGTATTTGTTAGTTAGCTAGATTTGACCATTCCACATTGTACATATACTTCAAACATCATGAAAAGTACATACAATTTTATCTGTCAATTGAAAAAATAAAAAGTACAAAAAATAAAATCCGGCCAAAGGAGCTCAAGAAGCACACATTGCTATTTTTCTGTATAGTGTGCAACAGTGGAATTTAAGAATAAAATGAATGAAATGTTTTTTTGTTTGTGTTTAGTGTGGCTGCAGATATGGGGAGGCTTATAAGGGACAGTAGAGATGGTTGTAAAGATGCCACTATTTTCTATTTTCACCTTTTGAATTATTTTGGCACATCTTGTTGTACACTTACTTAACAGCTCTGGCTTTTAAAATACTTCATATGCAGTCTTTGTCTCACTGTCTTTGCACATCTTTTACAAAGCCTCTTTCAGAAAACTTGTAGGGCAGGTCACTATTTTTTTCTTGGATGCTCCTAATAGAATAGGATACTAGTAAAACTGAAAATGCCTTTATTGTTATTAAATATCAAACTGCCTTTCTCTCTGAAGATTAAATATCATGTTAGTATTTGCTAGCTGCTGAAAAATATTTGCAAAAAGCTCAAAGGGACATCAAAAATAAATTCATGGTGAGGTGAATAGAATATTGTGCTGGAAGACTAGAAAAGCTACTTCAAACGCTAGTCTTAAGCATTGGAGTTACATTCAGTATGCTAAACTGCATTTAGAAACTACTGAGTTAAAGAAATTTTGCAGGTTTAAGTTCAGATTTCACTGAATTATACAATTTATTTTACGTGTACTTGTAGAAATACTGTACTATGTCCCTTCAGAACATTAATTCAAAGGCTTCATTTTCTGCCTGTCAAAATGTTGGTTTATAGATGAAGATGTAAATATTGGTCAATGTGTCAATAGAATATGGGCTTTGAATGTTTTTTTTTAAGTTTTTAAGCCAGGATTTTTTTTTAAATAGTTTTTTTGGTTGTTGATAGAACTTTATTTTATTTATTTATATGTGCTACTGAGAATCGAACCCAGTGCCTCACACATGCCAGGCAAGTGTGCTAGTGCTAAGCCACAGCCCCAGCTCATGGACTTTGAATGTTTTTAATGCCCACACTGTCCACTCTGATAAGAATTCATAGACTTAATGAGGAAGAGTAATAGACATAGGCTTTATGTAAATTTGAAGGCTTAATACAGGTCTTCTTCCCTTGACCTTAATGCCTTTTCTAATCAACTGAAAAACTGTCTCATAAAACCAATCATTGAAATAGCTTTAAATTTTGGAATAAAACTACTCAGTATTACATTCTCCATCCCTGACCTCTTCTAACCCACCCTCTGCAAAAGAAGAAAAAGAGTTATTTGAAATAGTTTTTTAATTTAAAATAGATTTTGTGGAAATTAAGATGCAGCTTCTTTTTATGAGCTAGTACAATAAATTTCACTTAAGTTTGTTTAATTTTTATCTTTTCCAGGTGTGGGAATTACAATGGTCCTGATATCTATTTTTGTGACGATCTATTACAATGTCATAATTGGTTATAGTCTTTACTACATGTTTGCTTCTTTTCAAAGTGAACTACCATGGAAAAATTGTTCTTCTTGGTCAGACAGTAACTGTAGCAGAACACCTATAGGTAAATTTCACTGATTTAATTTTTAAAATATTATCATCTCCATATCATTCTTTTATATCTTCTAAATAAGCTTGAAGGATTAAATCCTCCTGGGTAGGAGAGAAGTAAGAAAACTAGAAATTAATGAAGAGAAAAAAATGCTATCCATAATAGTAGGAGTATGTTTTTCAGGGAATAATAGGTGTGATTAATTGTTGGGATAAGTAGCATCAATTTAGGTCCAATTTTAAGTAGGCTATAAGTCATTGGTTAAAACAGAATATAGCATGTATGATCTGAAAACTAGTTAACATGTTAATATTTGAGGGCAGGAAGGAAGGCTAAACCAGGCCTCTGAGTACTTCTTGCAGGCTTAAGTCCTGGGCAGAAGAGAAGCAAGGAAATGGGAAACTGATAGAGAAAGTGCTATCCATAATGTGTGTTTCAGGAAACAGTAGGTTTTGTCCATGTCGATATGATGGTAATCTTTGGGATAAGTAGCATCAATGTTGTAGGCTATTACCATTGTGATTACCTATATACACCAGAGCTTAAAGTTATAAAGATTTGTTGCTTTTGAGAAATCTGAATGCATCAATTTATCTACATAGTTTAGATAGATAAGTCCACCTATTAAAAGTTTTTAGAGCACTAAATCTCAATAAAAACAATTATAGCTACTCTATAACTGTTAATAGTACAAATACTATCATGGTTTAAAGAGGCAAATAGTTACTATATTCACTCTAAGCTTACGAGTAGAGAAAATTTAAGATGCTGCATGTACATGATTCCTTCTACTTGTAGAATGTTTTATTCTACCTTTACCAAGTTAACAATTTAGTCAGTAACTTAAATATTTATCAGTAACTTTTTTTTCCAGGAAAGTACTCTTCAAAAGCTCAATTCACATCTGTGTCTGTATTTCTTTTTTTAATAATTTTTAGTAACTCACTGCAATGTGAGTATACATGGTACAGAGATGCAAGTGAATATGAGCTGGGTACACGCCAACAATTTTACCTGCATCAATGGCAGTGAAGTTTATCAGCCAGGGCAGCTTCCCAGTGAACAATACTGGAAGTAAGTATATTAGAGGATTTACTTCTTAAATAGATTTTATTAAAATGTTTATAAACAAAAATGGACTGTTGATCAGTCCCTTCTTTAACTCATATAAATATACAAAAGGGGAACCAGCATATTTCATTTGATTCAAATGTTTACATGTTTAACTATCCTAGGTGAATAGTAGTTATTTGCAAAATTAGCTCAGAGTTAACCATGTTTCTCATATAAATGAGTTATTCAGTGGGCACAACACTAATGATCTATTTTTTATTTACTAGAAAAAAATAGTCGATTTTTTAATTATAAGTTTGCAAGTTCTAATAATGCACATTTGAATGATAGGTAATATTGGGAGCAAAATTGCTTTTTTAAAGCTGCAATTCCTAATTATTTGGCTTTTACAGTTGCAACTGTATTGTAAGATTAGATATTTGGGGTTATATTTAATTTATTAACTTTAAATCAATTCTCCTTATACTGATCCATTACCCTTACCTTACATCCTTGACTACTGTTGAATGAGTTCTTCCTCATCCACATGAAAATGCCCTATATGATTTTTTGTATTTTAATTTTTTAAACTGATTCAGAAAAAACATAAATTGTGCCTGTTAATGAGCTACCATGTGATATTTCAATACATTTATACATTGTATAATGTTTAAATCAACTTAAACACAACTAACTCTTCAGTTATCATTTTTTATTAGAGCATTATAGTTATACATAGTAGTTGGGTTTATCCTGAAAAAAATTATATATGCACTGAATTCTATTTCAGGTCAGGATCCTCCCCTATTCTCTTCCAACCCTCCCCCCCATCCCACTCCATTCTCCTTCCTCTACTGGTCTTCCTTTCACTCATCTTTTTTTAAATTTTTGATTGCTTGTTTCTACTTATACATAAAGAGAAATTACCTGTGGTATATTTATATATGCACATGACATGATATTTTAAGAATTCATTACACATTTCTTCCCCTTTCCCATCCCTCCTCTCTCCCTCTACATCTCCTTCTTGTATATTACTGACCTTCCTTATATCTTTGTAATATCCAATCTTCTCATACTTCTCTCCTTTATTGTACTCTGGCTTGCACATGTGAGAAAACATTTGACTTTTGATTTTCTTATGTTGGCTTATTTTATTTAGCATGATGTTCTCCATTTCCATCCATTTATAAGCAAATGCCTTAATTTCATTCTTCTTTATGGCTGAGTAAAACTCTATTGTGTATGTATACACCAAAATTTCTTAATCCATTCATCTATTGATGGATACCTGAGTTGTTTCTATAATTTAGCTATTGTGAGCAATGTTGTTATAAACACTGATATTGCTGTATTGAGACAATATACTGATTTTAGTTCTTTTGGGAAAGTACCAAAGAGCACTACACCTGGGTCACATGGTAATTGCATTCTTAGTGTTTTGAAAAATCTCCATACTACTTTTCTGAGTGGTTATACTAGTTTGCAGTCCCACCAACAATATATCAGTATACCTTCCCCCCATAAGCATTTATTATTATTTGTGTACTTTTTATTATTTTTTAAAATTTAAAATTTTAATTTGTTAATTATAACAACAGAATGCATTACAATTCATATTACATATATAGAGCAAAATTTTTCATATCTTTGGTTGTACACAAAGTAGAGTCACATCCTTCATGTCTTCATACATGTACTTAGGGTATTGATGACCATCACATTCCACCTGTCTTTCCTACTCCTATGCCCCCTCCCTTCCCTTTTCCCCTTTGCCCTATTTGGTGTTCATTTAATCCTCCCCTCCTCCTCCCCGCCCCCCTGCAGCATATTATGAATCAGCATCCTTAAATCAGAGAAATCATTCAGCATTTGTTTTTTTGGGAATTGGCTAATTTCACTTAGCATTATATTCTCCAGCTCCCTCCATTTACTTGGAAATACCATGATTTTATTATCTTTTAATGTTGAGTAATATTTTTTATCCATTCATCTACTGAAGGGCATCAAGACTGGTTCTACAGTTTAGCTACTGTGAAGTGTGCTGTTATTTGTGTTCTTAATTGCCATTCTGATGAGAATGTGGTGAAGTCTTAGTGTTGTTTTGATTTGCATTTCCCTGATTGCTAGAGATGTTGAACATTGTTTCATTTATTTGTTGGTCATTTGTGTTTCTTCTTTTGAGAATTTTTTTAGTTCATTTGCCAATTTATTGATTTTTTCAGTGTTAAAATTGTTGAATTCTTTATATATTCTCAATATTAATCCTCAGAGAAGCAGCTGGCAAAGATTTTATCCCATTCTGTAGTCTCTCTATTCACATTCTTGTTTCCTTTGCTGTGCAAAAGCTTTTAATTTGATGGCATGCCACTTACTGATTCTTGATTTTATTTCTTGGATTGTAGTGTTGGCCCTATGTTTTCTTCTAGAAGTTGCAATGTTTCTGGTCTAATTCCAAAGTACTTGGTCTATTTTGATTTGACTTTTGTGCAGGATGAGAGAAGTTTAGTTTCATTTTTCTTCCTATAGCTATCCAGTTTGTCCTTTCTCCAAAATTTATTTATGGCACCTTTGTCAAGTATCAAATGACTGTTAAGTATGTGGGTTTGTCTATGTGCCTTCTATTCTGTTCCATTGGTCTTTACATCTATTTTGATGCCAATACCATGTTGGTTTTTTTATTACTATAGTTCTATTGTTATAATTTGAGATCAGGTATTATGATGCCTACTGCATCACTTTTCTTGGTCACTATTGCTTTGGCTGTTCTGGGTTTCCTATTCTTCCAAATGAATTTTAGAACTTCTCTTTTCTAGTTTGTGAAGAATGTCATTGGGACTTTAATAAGAATTACATTAAATTTATATAGCACTTTGGGTAGTATGGCCATTTTGACAATATTGATTCTGCCAATTTAAGAACATGGGAGATCTTTCCATCTTCTAATGTCTTATTCAGTTTCTTCCTTCAGAATTCCATAATTTTCATCATACACTTTTACCTCCTTGGTTAGATGAACTCCCAAGTGTTTTATCAGTTTTCATTTCTTTATGATAATGATAAAACATTCAAAGTCTTTCCTTCTAGCTTTTTGATATATAATACATTATTGTTAGCTATAGTTATTTTACTCTGCTATAACATACCAGAACTTCTTTCTCCTAACTATAACTTAGTAACCATTGATCATTTTAGTAACCATTGATCATCTCCTAACTATAACTTAGTAACCAGTGATCATCTTCCCCTACCCTACTCCCCCCAGTCTCTGGTAGCTCTATGAGATCAACTTTTTTAGATACCATATATGAGTAAAATCATGCAATACCTGTCTTTCTGTGCCTGATTCATTTCACTTAACATAATGACCTCCAGTTCTTCCATGTTGTTATGACAGAATTTCATCCTTTTTAATGGTGTAATACTATTCCATTATGTATATATACCACATTTTCTTTATCTACTCATCAGTTCATGGACACTTAGGTTATTTCCATTTCTTGACTATTGTGAATAATACTTTAATAAATATAATAGTGCAGGTTTATGCTGATTCAATGTCTTTTGCATATATATACACTAGCAGGATTTCCGAACTAGATGATATTTTTATTGTTTATTTTATTTTTTGAGGAACCTATAGACTGTTTTTTAAAATATGAATTTTTAAAATTTTGATGTTGAATGCTCTCAATCAGCCAGCTAAGAATTAAAATTCTAGATCCATACATTTTGCTGTGGAAAATCATAGAATTTTGCCAAATGTTTTTGAAAAACATGAATAAAGCAGCCATTTGAGTTTAATAATATCTACAAGTATGGAATAAGGAAATATTTGATACAATTTTAGCTATTTTATTCATCATTTTAATTTGAAAAATATTGAGTCAAATGAAGGCATATAAGGTTAATTTCTTTACATAAAGAAATTTGAATTATACAATAGAATCTGTCAATGAAAGGCTCACAGGACATGGATGTATTAATAAACTACAATACACATGAAGCTTCCTTTAGATGAACTATTTTAAAAAATACAATATTTTAAAAGACAAATGATTCTGTGTTCATAAAAGGGCTTATGTGTTTCAGTAAAGTGGCACTTCAACGGTCCAGTGGAATGGATGAAACTGGAGAAATTGTGTGGTATTTAGCACTTTGCCTTCTTCTGGCTTGGATCATAGTTGGAGCAGCATTATTTAAAGGAATCAAGTCTTCTGGCAAGGTAATTTGGGAAACACATTGATTAGTGATGGTAGCTGCTTTCCAATTTCATTGAAGTTCAAACTCAAGCAATTATCAGATGCATATTTTCTACAATGGAGACTTATGAGCATGTGAAAGTTTTCTAAGTAGGGATTTTAGTTTTAAGTAAATACATAGGATCATTGCTATTGTTAAAATGAACAAAAAGTAATACTAAAATTGTGCTGCTACAGAATTGTGAAGCTTGAGAGTATTTTTTTTTCTGTTTTCTGACCTACCGTATAAATAAGCATCTTGAGTGGAATTATATAGTGTCGTAATTTTTGGTTTGACAAGTCTAGATCCATGTGGAGTAATAGTACCAAGACTTCCTTGTTGGAAAGAAATAGAAAAAATACCATGAAATTATTCTTCTAAACGAAAGTTTTCCAATATTGACTCAGAATCTTCTCTCTCAGTGAAAGGCCTCTTCTGAAAAACATTGTTACATTTTCCCTCTTCATTGTTTTATTTTTTAAAAGACTTTCGGAGAGCACAATGGCAATTTAAAAGAACACTGTGAAATTTTCTCTGTGAACAGTTACATGGTACCCAGAAAAGGGAATGTTTCTTTAATTATTAGATTGAAATTTTCTTAAAGGTAGAGGACAAGATAACTGTGGACACTATCTTTGTATTCCTAGTACATTATCCAGCAAATTCAACTAATGTTAAGTCATAATAAGACATGCAGTTACATCACAAAAAATACTGTGAACATCACAAAAACAGTGGAAACTTTCTGACATGTTCTAATTGCACATTTTTTAAGCCCTTGCTTCCTTTTTGATGTTAATATTGGAAGAGTCCATTACAGGCCATTTATCCTGGCAATTAATTTTTATTGGTCTCTGGATGACTTATTTAAATAATCTCTTTGGGCATATTATCAAACATGGGACATCTATGGATCAAAGAAATCATCCACATTAATGAAAAGCCAGCCTTAAAGGCAAAATCTGTTCATCTGGAACCATATGTTATTTAGGACAGAAGCAGGGTATTTGTATCCTATCAAACTCTCTGAATGGTAGCTTTAAGTAACAAGTGTTCACTATTCACTTTAATAAATTATTTAAGAGATTTGGATATCTATAAGATATTTTTCCTTCTTATTAGGAGCTGAATATGTACTAATTATTGTAGATTTTTAAAAATCATTTCCCTTCTCACCTCAATAATTTTCTTGAAAGGAAACATTCAGTCCTCTTAGACATTTATAAATATATATTTAGGAAAACATCCCAAATAGATCACAAGTTATCACTGCTAATGTACTGTTAATTTACAACATGAGCCTAGGAAATACTGCTTCAACATCAAAGTGTTTTTTTTGAAGTGGATGATTTGAAAGCGAGAATAGAAATAGGAAATTATGCCAACTTTGGTACTGGTATTATCAGTACCTTTATTAATAACTTTATAAAATCTCCAGTACTTTATTTTACTAATCTCATCCATCTAATAATTTTACCTATATACAGTTAAATACTGTGCTTTAAAAATAACATTGGCTTTTGTTATCTTTTTGGTAGGTGGTATATTTTACAGCTCTTTTTCCCTATGTGGTCTTACTCATTCTGTTAATACGAGGTGCAACTCTAGAGGGTGCATCAAAAGGCATTTCATACTATATTGGAGCACAATCAAATTTTACAAAACTCAGTGAAGCAGAGGTAAGACTTAATTTGAATTTAATGTTATCTGAGGAGGTAAATCTTAAAATCATATACCAAAACTCTTTGGTTGCATGAGTGTCATTGTGCTTTGTAAAAGAATATTCAGTTAAATATATTTGAGTTTCTGTCTACTAGAGTTTCTGATTAACTTATGTAACATGATCTTAATTATCTTATTGGATTTAAGAACATAATTTTTAACAATAGAATTTAAACAATCGTTTTATTCATGTAAATGATTTTGCTTGACCAACAGGGTTTGGTGTTTATTAATGTGAAAATATTTTATGCATAAATACCTGCAAATGATGATTAGTACTATGTGATTTATTGGATAAATTCATAGTAGCTTTAAAGATCACTGTTGAAAGTTTAATGGTCTAGTGTGCATTTTTAATTTTTCTTTTTAATTGTATTCATAAGTTAATATTCCAAAAGCAAGATCAAATTTTGCCTAATGGATTAAAAATTAAAACATATGGATTAATGTGTTTTGACATGGATTAAGCATTCTCTAACTAAAATTTATTCCAAAAATGTAAACATGTACCAAGAATATGAACTGGGTAATACCCTTTAAACTTAATCTACCTCCAGATAATGGCTGTGTGTCGTGGGTACATAAAAATCTTCCACAATTTTAACTACAGAGAATGTTGACAATAATACATCTATTCAGTTGATACAGCCTAAGAAGGCTTTCACTCTTTTAGTAGTTGCATCACATACTTGTCACATATTAAGCTTCTGGTCAGCTAAAAATTCACAATCTTATGTTAAAGTCAAGAAACAATATATTAATATCTGCCACATGAGTACTGACCAAAATGGATATTACTTTTAGATTACTATGGTATTCTTTGTGGAAATCATGCTAATTTCCAGCCATTTTTAAAATGGAATCAGATTATATTTAATTAATTGTTGTAGGATATTTCTGGTAAGTAATGTAAATTCATTAGATTTTAGTCATTGAAACCTGTCATTTACCTTTTTGAAATATGAAATGCCAATCTCTGGTCTTTGGTTCTTTTATTGTACCCAATAATTTTCACTCAATGATGAACCACAATAGCTCTAAATTATGTTGGAACTATGACATTTTATTATTTTTAGTCTTGGAGGTTAATGTATTCTGATGTGTCCACAGGCCATCTTAATGCATTTCTTCATTTATCTTGGGCCTCACTCTTTTTAACCTTGTTTGTTAATCTCTTCCCAACTCAAAGACCATTTTCGGCGGTGAATAAGAAACAAATAAAATGGTAGTTGGGATTCATCACCTTCTCTCTGTTAGGTTATTAAACAAGATAAAACAAGTTAATGCATTTTAGAAATGGTAAACTCATATAACTAAGAACTAATATCCAATTATTTCAACTATTGATGTTATGTTATTATAGTTGCAACATTTTCCCTAAGAAATAGACCCCCCATTTTCTTAAACTTCATTACTTTGAGCAAAGTGGAAAAGCCTCTTTGATATTCTTTAAGTGGCTTTAACAAGCTTCAGACATCTTGTCTTTGTACTTCCTTGAAACTTTCCTGAAAAACATACATGACTATTTTATATTGTTCTGTGCTTCAATGTCTTTATTTAAAAAATCAGACCTCTATATAAAGCTCCTTGTGAAAGATACAATTTATTCCTCTACTCCATCTACTCCCCAATACAACACAACCCCACTCTTCTTTTGGGTTTCCTCACAATGAGAATTGTTTTTCTTAGATATTTTTTTATTCCTCACAATTCATATTCTAAACATGAGATAATAAGTATATACTTTAAACTTTTCTTGGAATATATGAATTCTACTGAAATTTCCAGGAAAATAGAGAACTTTACAAATTAATAATTAGAAGGGTCTTCAGAGAATATTTTACTAACTCCCTCATTTTATGGTGATGAATTTAAGACCCAGAAAGATTCAAATTGAGTCAAGTGTACACAGTTAGTGCAAATTGAATTAAGATTTCATAATCCCTAATAATCTTGTGTATGTGTATGAGATTGATTGATAAGGGGGTTATAACTATGTTTGGAATTTCTGTCCATATTTGTTTGTAATCAAAGACAACATGATGGTATAGAGTAGCATTCTTACATATCCCAGAACTGCTATAGCCACCTCCAGCTCCCATATGCATACATAATATATCAAGTGAAAGAGGCTCAGAGACATGCTATTTATCTCTTAAGATGGAAAACAGCCTAATAAATAAAAGGGTATTTTACTTCTAACAGGATTTTGTTATATGTAAGTCAAATAACCTTGATCTATGCATGTACTTCTAGCTATTTTTCTGTCTTATTATATATCTATCCATCCATCTTGCTTCATGCTGACTTCCTACAATCGAACATCAAACTGTATTCTGAAGACCTAGTAATGTTTCACTCCCTAACAACTTTCCTTCTGTTGAAATAATATTGAAGGGGAAAATTTTTACTTTTAATTTCTAAATAAGAAACTGAACATCAACTTATTTTATTTCTCACAATAACAATAGCAGCTATCATTGAGCATCTTATTAGTTGCTTTGCATCTGTTATCTCATTTCTTTCTCATGTCATTCTTTGGATGATATTATTGTTACTATTATTATTGTTATTATTAAAATCTACCTTACAGATGAAGAAACATACTTAAAGAGGTTAAATAAAGTGAGGTCAAAGGGAGTGAGAAGTATTAGATGTAAACATTTTTCTGACTCCTAAATCATTTTCTAAAATTAATTAATGACCTTTAACAAAAACATAGAAAGGGTAAATTGTGAAAAGAGGAATGAAAACGGGGTAGGATTAATGAAGTATGAGGGGTCCGCAAGTACTAGACATGCTAAGAATGTGTTTTTATTATTACTCTATATGTAGAGTCAATAGAATGTGACTGTAATTGATATGTAGTGTTGATAGAATTCCAATCAAATTCTCAACACAGAAAAAGTGAAGAGGAATTGTCCTATTGGATGTGAAACAATATTATAACATTGTTTTTATTAAAATAGAGTGGTACATAGGTATTGACATACACCACTGGAATAGAATATTAATTTCAGAATTAGATTCATAATTAAATGGAACTTGATATATGGCAGAGGTGGCAATGCAGATCAATGGGGAAAGAATGATTATCCAATTGATAACACCGATACACAATTCATATTGAATATATATGATTGATAATATCTATTATACTTGTACTGTTGATATCCCACTTAGGATTACCAGGAATTCCATGTGTTAATATGCACAATAAAAATTAGGGTGAATTGAAATTTTAATAGATAAGCAAAATTTTTTCTTTCAGAATGAGATATAAATAGTATCTTTATAACCTTGGGCAGTATTTTGTTAAATAATAGGCATCATGGCCCACACATACAAGCAAAGATGGATACCTTCAGCTATGTTAAATCAACAACAAAGACTCTGGTTTATCAAAAAACACAATGAGGTGAAAAAAAGCCACAAGTTGAGAGATAAATCCAATATATATGATAGACAAAGGATTAGAATCAAATTACATAAAGAATTCCTAGAAATCAAATAAGGCATATAACACAATCAAAAAAGAAAGACTGAACAGAAGTTTTATAGGAAAAAAATTCATATGGAAAATAAATATTTAAAACCACACTAGCCCTTGTATGTAACAAGAATAATCAGAACTCTTATTTCACAGCCACTAGATTGGATCAAATTAAAAATTCTGACCAAATTCTAGCAAGGATGTAGAGGAATGTGAACTCTCAAATGAGCTATGGAAGTACAAAGTGATTCAGTCATTCTGGAAAGCAATTTACAGAGTTAGTAAAAGAAAGAATACATGTAATTTTTGACATCACACTTCCCAACCTAGATTATAAGGATGCAGGTACAAGAATGTTCATAGCTATATAATAACAAAATATTGAGCAACCTAATGTCCACCAACAGAAAAAAAGGATAAATTGTGATATATACACTAGGGCAGTAGAGAACTGAATAAATGATTAAAGCCACATGTATTTAATTGAGCCACATGAATTTGCCTGTGTTCTTTCATTATTGAATTACAAAATTTTGAAATTTTATATGCCTCAACTTGATATTGGAAAAAGTTAATATTACTGAATGAAAGAGTAAATTGTAAAGTTTACATCCATTAATATGATTTTTTATGAGTTTAAAACCAAGAAAAGTTAAACACAAAGAACAGGAAATGATAAACTCCAGTCAGCACTGCAGGAAGGGTGATACAGTTAGGGAGAGACACAAGAAGGCTTTAAGAGACTAGTAACATTTTATTAAGCTGGGTAGTGGGTACTTGATATTCATTTCATTGTTTTATAATATGTATTTATATATATGAAATATTTTATACAAATGAAAGATTAAGAGCACATGTTTAAAAAATTTAATTTTCTCTTGCAGGTTTGGAAAGATGCTGCCACCCAGATATTTTACTCCCTTTCAGTGGCTTGGGGTGGCTTAGTTGCTCTGTCATCTTACAATAAGTTCAATAACAACTGCTTTTCTGATGCCATTGTAGTTTGTTTGACAAACTGCCTCACTAGTGTGTTTGCTGGATTTGCTATTTTTTCTATATTGGGACACATGGCTCATATATCTGGACAGGAAGTCTCTCAAGTTGTAAAATCAGGTATGTAATGCTATATGTTATAAAATTTGATTAATGTAGCTCACTTACAGTCTAATATGGTTGATAGCAATTTACATTAATGATTTAGGATCTTGTATTTTCTTTATCATTTCATATAATGCAATTTGTTTAAATGATATAATAATTCTTAGATGATTTATGTAAACGAGAAACATTGTTTAAGAAGACACAATGTTTTTCTGGATTTTGTTTAGTATGAACCACTTCCTGCACAATTATAAGTTTCAGGAATTATAGTAAGCACATTCCATGTATTGTGAGAGAGAAAACATATTTCAAATTCCCCTATGCAAACTACACATCAGATCTGAATTTCTAAACACATCAATATCATATAGAAATTCCAGTTATTCTGAATATACAGCTGTGTGAGCTTTAAAGGAATCTGCCTAATGAACTTCTTAACTTTAAAATGTTTAATTATTTGGCTAGAGATTCTTAGAATAATTTTAAGACCACCTTATTAAAATTTTATTATAGTTAGTATAATTTGATGGAAATACTGATAAATGATAACAAAATTTCAGGACTAGAGAAAGCCCCTGGAGATCTTCTTGTATCTAGCTCCTCATAAGGGACTAATACACAGGAATCTACATCTTGAAGATGGTCAAATATTTGGAACATGATAGATCCTAGACTAGAAGCTAATTTTTTAAATTCTAAGTCAGTCCTCTGGAAAGTGAGAGAAACTTAAAATAGTTAAAACTGACAATCATATAATAAAAATGGAACAAAATGAATAGCATCTTTAAATGTAGCAGCAAATAGAAAACAAGATTCAATCTATAGTTTCACATACAGTTTTGCAGGTGTCCATAAACTGATTAAAACAGCATTGCTCATAATGATTCTGGGTAAACATTTGGAAAAAGACTAAAAAGTTCCATTCGTGTATCTTTCTAGATAGTGTAATTCGTTTAGAATTTTAAGCTGAGATAAGGTGACATAATCTATGTTTCTACAATAGAGACAATTGTTACTCTTCATCAATCTTAAAAGGAAATCAGTTGAACAAAACCATTAAAATAAGTTGAATTTCTTATGGAAGAAATAGGCACTAGCTTAATTCATGTCCCATGTTCACAATGTAATATTGCACAACAACCAAGTTAAACACTTTAAAAAGTGAATGTGAGATAGTCGGTAAAGAACTTATGTCAAGGATTGCATTGTCAAATCAAGATGAGAATTTTGTAGTGTCCAAATATGTGAATTTTCTTGACAACTAATTTAAAACACTATACATTTTTCATAGGTTTTGATCTAGCTTTCATTGCCTATCCAGAAGCTCTAGCCCAACTCCCAGGTGGTCCATTTTGGTCCATATTATTTTTCTTCATGCTTTTAACTTTGGGTCTGGATTCTCAGTTTGCTTCCATTGGTAAGTAATAGTACCTCCAGTGTTAACATTACCTTCATATTTTATTCATGTTTCCTCTACTTGAAAACATCCTTTTCTTACCCTTATTCCTCCTTTTAGCTGTTAATTCTTCTAACGGCCACTCTGAATCATTTTTTAACTTAAAATTTAAGTATGGAAAATATAAACTACACATCTATTTGACACTCAAAAGGAACAAACAATATTATGTCATATTTTCTTCAGATAATTTTTAGAAGACAAATGATTACAGGTGAATTTTATGTCCCTTATTTTTTTTAATATTTATTTTTTAGTTGTAGTTGGACACAATACCTTTATTTTATTTATTTTTATGTGGTGCTGAGGATTGAACCCAGGGCTTTGCATGTGCTAGGCAAGTGCTCTACCACTGAGCCACAACCCCAGCCCCTCCCCTATGTTTCTTACTAAAATATTTAACATGTTTTTTCCTAGAGGCAACCATCACCATGGATTGTGTGTTATTTAGTCTATGTTTGCATAAATTGTACATATATCCATAAATAATATACATTTAAATATTTCACATAAATGTCAAGTTAATGTGTATATGTGTGTATGTAATATATATATTACTCTGACAGGTTTTTACATGTATTTGAACCCATGTTGCTACATAGACATATAGATCTATTTAATCAACAATCTGTTGCCATTTTGTTAGGCATTTGGATTCCTTTTTTTTCCCCCTGACACACACTGCTGCAATGACTATCCTTATTCATGTTACACAAAGGAGTTTTCACTAAGGTATACAACCAATTATTATGAAATAGTTTTCATCATATCATTCTCTTACATAAAAATTTTCATAGTTTACTCTTTATAGGACAAAATCCAGGTTCCTTTAGTTGACTTTTAAAGTCCTTGTAAATTTCAAATACATTTCCTAATACTTTTACTCATCCTTCTCCTCTTAGCCAGTTCCCTATTTAATGGATACATTTATTTCTTAAATCTAAGATCTTTTTTTATCTCCAATGCCAACTAATTCTAGTATGCACCTGATTAAATTCTCATTAGAATTTTCCTTCCCTATAACTTTTTCAAACTACTTTAGCCCCCCAATGACTTTACAGTTGTCACCAAAAAAAAACCTTATAAAACAGATAACAAATAGAGATGCTTTTTATTTTCATCAGAATCAACAAGTGGTGAGTTGTAAGATAAAGGACTCTAAGATTAAAAACAAAAACAAACCAACAAAACAAAACAAAAAATCAAAACAAAAAAATAAGTAGAGCTCAAAGTATATTCTCCACAAATATTTGTAAATGTGATTAATAGAAGTTGAATTCTGTGATTAACCTTACTGAGTTGACATATGTCATTTTTTCCCACCAAAGAAACAATTACAACAACAATTCAAGATTTATTTCCCAAAGTAATGAAGAAAATGAGGATTCCTATAACTTTGGGTTGCTGCTTGGTTTTATTTCTCCTTGGTCTCGTCTGTGTGACTCAGGTATACTACAGCTTTTTCTTTTCATAGACAAAGTATTAATTGGGACATATGTCAGAATCTAAATGAAAAAAAGATTTAAGATGGTGTTTAGTGAAAAGTCTAAGTTCTACTTGGATTAAGGTTTTTCAAGTTTTAGACCATTTCTTCCCACTGTAACTTTGTTAATATTTCACAGAGGAAGAGGCCCAGTAATGACAATTTCATACAGATTATAACAAGATTATAGACTTTAAACATACACTGTAAGTTTCTTGGCAGCTACTATAGAGCCTATAGATATTACATACCATCTTGACAATCAGCTCTTCTAAATGCTTATTTTTTCCCAATAACTCCGTATAGAAAAAAATGTTTTTGAGATAGTTAAAACCACATTTTTGTTTGTATTTGAAACATTCTTTTCCATATTTTAGCAGAAGTGAAGCTAAGGAGCATATGTTAAAGTCCAATTTTCCTATGAACACATATGAAAACAACACAGTGAATCCCACCATCATGTACATCCACAAGAATGGGGTCCTAACTAGAAAAATATATATATATATATATTACAATATATATATATATATATATATATATATATATATATATTATAACTAAAAAGAGACAATAAATAAATAAATAAGAAAAAAATAAAAGATTCAATTTGAACACTTCATCAAACACAAAAATAATTAGAAGTAACTGGCTTTTTTTTTTTGGTAGGCTGGAATTTATTGGGTTAATCTGATTGATCACTTCTGTGCCGGATGGGGCATTTTGATTGCAGCTATATTGGAAATAATAGGAATCATCTGGATTTATGGTAAATAATGACTTTAAAATTATTTAAAAGTTTTATTAAAATAGTCTAAATGATTATTTTCATTATGTATATATAATCACACTATTAATAACTTCACTATTGTAATAGTAAAGTATAATATATTATAAATAAAATTATTTACAGGCATATACTTCATTGTTTGTGGTTAGGAAAATGTTTAGATGTAGAAAAATATGTTGGACAAAAATGATTGAGGAACCACTGAGTAAGGGCTCAATGTACTCTTTGACATTTTTTTTTGTAGGAGGAAACAGATTCATTGAAGATATAGAAATGATGATTGGAGCAAAGAGGTGGATATTCTGGCTATGGTGGAAAGCGTGCTGGTTTGTAATTACACCTGTCTTGTTGATTGTAAGTAATATTATACCATGAATTTATATAATATGTACATTTTATATAATATATAATATATACAATTCACATAATATATACAATAATATATACATTTAAATATTTCTAGGATAAACTTAGACTGATTTTCACATTTTGTAGTATTTGTGATTGGTGCCTCAAAGCTGCCTAAATTTCCTTTGCATTATTATTTTTGAGGCCATGGGTTGAAACATTTACCATTTAAGAAAATAAAGAAATTCCTATAGACTTAAAAGTTATTAATAACCTAAAATTATCAATAGGATAAAAACTATCAATAAGATAAATAAAAACAAATTAATTTCTCATTCCCTAACAGATACACTGAGCCATCAATAATTTTCTCAACCTCTCTGCAAGTACAGAAAAGAGTAAAATAGAAAAGGCCAGATAATGTCTTCAAGAAATTCAGTTTAAATATACTGATTTCTAAGACAGCACTTGGATTACAGTGTGCATTTTTTTTTATTTATGGGGGGAAGTATTTTACATCTGAAATTACTAAAATAAATTCACCTATTTCAAGAGACAATTGTTAATAAATTCAACAATTGGTGCTATTTAAAATCTGAGGGAAACAAATGGTGTCTAATTAATTTTATGATATATAGACATGAAATCTTCAAATAATAGTGTAGGAAAGTAAATGGATAGTAGGAAACACTTCATGAGATGGAGAAATGCCATGCACTATAGGTAATGGTGAGATTCGGGTTGATGGTAAAGCTTCACAGATGTGTTTTAGTTTTCATTGCCTTCATCCTTCCAAGGTTTCCCTAGAAAAGACCATTAAATAATTTGATAGATATTTGCTTAATATCTGAAATATCATATTTGATTGTTTTAGTGGGTGTTTTATGTTTTAAACATGAATTGATTAGTTTACATAGTAAATAGTTTGGGACTGAATGTGATAAATTAAAATATTTATATGCTTCATATTCTTGCTGAATGACTTAAAGAGCCACTAAATATCACTCCAGTTATTTAAAAATCTCTATAACAAAATAAGCCCCCTATCAACTTATGATATCCAACTAGACTACTAACCAGCTAATTTTCATTGATTACACAGGTCAAACTTTTGAATTTACTTTAAAATGCTAAAATATTAAATATCAAATGATACACATTGACATCTATTTTATATAAAGTCTTGTGTATTAGACTCCAATGTCTTTCATTCATATTCTTGTAATTATATACAATTATGGTAACTGTGAAATACATTGAAGAACTGTAATTAAATTAATGGAATATCCCACTCAATTCTATAATTATACTTGCATATCTATTTATAAAGATTTCTATAATCTATTGCTTTCTTATTGTTTCTAGTAAAACAAAGTCAGCTAAATTTAGGAAAATTAGTAGGCAATTTTTGGGTTTCATTTTGATTTACAGATTTCTATAAATAATTTTGATACCTCAACATTTCTAGTAGGTTTTTTAAAAAAACATTCTAAAACTGGGCCTTAAAGTGATGGAATCTTTATGATTCAGATTTTTGCCATATTAACTAAACTTGATTTTTTTCCCAGAAAGAGGCTGGAAGTAAAGTGTGCTTTTATAAGTATGCACCCGTAGTGTATGTGCAAATCCATGTTTTGAGGTGAAGGGGTGCTTTCTGCAGTTAAAAATAACAGAAGCAATTGCTAAGCAAGAAGAGAAGCATGTCCACTAATGTCTACTTTTACATTCTCATTGAATTAAAATATATGCTGGCAAGCTATAGCATAGAATAAAACTATATTATTACAAATAAATTATAATTTCATTTTGGATATATACCCAGTAGTGAGATTGCTGCATCAAATGGTGGTTCTAGTTTTGATTTTATGAGGAACCACTATAGTCTTTTCCATAATGACTGTACTAATTTACATTTCTATCAATGGGGCTCATGGGTTTCCTTTTCTCTACATCCTTGCCAACCGTCCTGCTCCTGGGTGTATATATCTAATGGAAATGAAATCAGTAGGTCAAAGAGACATCTGCACTCTTATATTCAGTGCAGAACTATTCACAATACCCAAGAAATGGAAACAGTTTAAGTATACATTAACTATTAATGGATAAAGAAAATGTGGTGCATATATGCAATGGAATACTATTTAGCCATAAAAAGAATGAAATCTTATCATTTGCAACAATGTGAATAGTACTGAAGATTATGTTAAGTGAAATAAGCTGGGAACAAAAAGACAAGTATCACATGATGTTACTCACACAAGGAATCTAAAAAATTTGATCTCACGGAAACTGAAAACTAGAATAGTGAGACCAGGAAAAGTGCGTGTAGGGGAGCAGTATTATGAAATATTGATCAGTGGTACTGAGTTATGGTTAGATAGAAACAAGAAGTTCTGGTATGCCATTGCACGGTAGAGTGAATTTAGATAATAGTAGTATGCTTTGTTTCAAAGGGCTAGAAGAAAGGATTTTCAAAGTTTTAACAATAAAGAAATAATGTCTGAAGAGATAAATAAGTTTAACCTGATTTGAACATTATGCAATATATGCATGTATCAAAACATAACTCAATTAATATGTATATTTAAATGTTTTATGAATCAATTAAAAATAAAAATATAAAAATATTTAAATTAGTAGAGTAAAAGCTCAATAAAAAATTTCAAATTCATTTTACTTTCAGTCCTAGTCAAGTATTTTACCAGAGTATATGTGGAACAAGTATTTATATCTTTTATGGTGGTATTAAATTTTGGAAGAATTTATTCAAAGTAAAAATAGAAATTTTATTCATTTCATATTATTACCTTCTGGCTTGTTACCTGATTATCTTAGTTCTTAATTGTATTTTAATTTTAGTTTATTTGATAAATTACTTCTTTGGAAGAGGATCAAATGGTTAATCATATATGCAATAAAGTTTAATCTATAGCATTGTCTTTTCATTTTTTGTTTTTGCAGGCAATTTTAATATGGTCACTGGTGAAATTTCAGAGACCCACGTATGGTGAAATTTCATACCCTGACTGGGGAGTTGCTCTGGGCTGGTGTATGATTATTTTCTGCATTATTTGGATTCCAATTGTTGCTATCATAAAAATAGTTCAGGCTGAAGGAAACATCTTTCAAGTAAGCATATTAAATTGTAAAATACTTTATATAAATTATTTGTCAGAAAAATGAACATTAATTTACTTTATATGGCAGTAATATGAGATAATATGCAATTAAGCAATAACTCTTTTTTCTTACTACTTCTAAACTTGATTTATTCATCTGTTAGTAGTACATTACATTGTCTCCCTGTATTAGACTATAAGCACCTTGTGAGAAGTCTTGTCTTCTTGTTAGTGGATCATCAAGACCTATTACAATACTTAACATATTAAGTATTTTAACATAACCAGTTAAAATAAATATAAAAGCAAGTGACTTGTGAATCTTTSGGATAACTCAGTACATTGTAGAAAGTCATTTGCTTTTTATATATATAATCTTTACTTTTTTTCCCTTTATTTTTATGTGTTGCTGAGGATTGAACCCAGGGCCTCCCACATGCTAGGTGAGCTCTCTACCACTGAGCCACAACCCAGCCCCATAATCTTTACTTTTAAAGCCTCATCTGGTTATAACATAAATCCTAGTAGTGTGTTTAGACTGCAATAGGCCTGGTAAATTATCTCAAACCCTATGTAGACCTTGAATCATCATTTCTCCATGCAGGCTTAGCAGTTAGATTTGATTATGAATTTTTACTAGAACAATGACAAGGAGCCTTAAATTAAGTAAATCCTCTTACTAGAAGGATCCAAATCAATATTTTGACATTGGAACTTCTTTCCTTTGTTCTTGAACCACATGCAACTATACACTAGTTTAGATACTCATTTCACCCTCACCTCAAAGCCAGATGGAAATCATTCAAATTCAGTGAAGGTAACTGTAAGTGAACCTGTTACTCTAATGAGCTCACATGCCTTCTGAAGTCATTTACATATTTGATTAGTTTGATTGTTAGTATGATTCTATTAACACTTAGGTAATAATTTATTTGATTGTAATTTCTTCTTAGACTGCATTATTGAGTATTTAACTTTTTAACTTGCTATTTAATTATTGTTAGCATAGAAACTTAAAAATTATAAATGAAAATATAGTTTAATATTCAGTACAATTAAGTAATAACAATTTATTTAATTTCTTCTTAGTAGACTGCATTATTAAGAATTTAGATTCACTTTTCAACTTTTCTATGATTCTTATTTCATTTTTTATCTTCTGGCTTGTTACCTGATTATCTTAGTTCTTAATTGTATTTTAATTTTAGTTTATTTGATAAATTACTTCTTTGAAATGGGATCAAATAGTTAATCATATATGCAATAAAGTCTAATCTGTAGTATTGTCTTTTCATTTTTTAATTTTTGCAAGCAACTTTAATATCGTCAAAATTAAAGCATAGTAAAATATTTGCTTGTTAGCAAAGAAACAAAATGTTAGAATTAAGTTATAGTTTAATATTTGTTTGCAGATTATAACACTTATATTCTAAGACAGGAATTTTTTTTCTCATTTCAGCGCATTGTAAGCTGCTGCAAACCAGCTCCTAACTGGGGTCCATACCTGGAACAACATCGTGGGGAGAGATATAAAAACATGGTAGAGCCTAAGAAAGAGATTGACCATGAAATACCTACTATTAGTGGCAGCAGAAAACCAGAATGAGACCTCATTTTTAAAAATGTTTGTTGTATAATGTGATTTTAGAGTAGGGGCAATTTTTATTTATTTGTATGTTACCTAGAAAAATATAAATGCTATGTTCACAATAGGGTAATAAGTATTTTTCCCCCTTAAGCAGGAATGTAATATAAAATGTGAATCTATTAATGTTTAACAATGTGCTTATATTTCTTTTAAGATTAGCTATCTGTATAATATGCACACAATTATTTCACAGTGAAATTTAAAAATATTACCATAATGTTTTTCTAATAATTGAATGCTTTATTTTGAGCTGTTTTTGTTATGTAACTTTAAAATTATTATTTCTTCTATTTTCTTAACATACAACCTTTCTTTTTCACAAGTTGGGGGAATATCAGTGTATTTAAAAGGAAGTCTTACAAACTACTGGCCTCACTTAGAAACATCATAAATATGTGGAAAAATGACCATTCATATTATATAAAGATTATAGTTTAGTGCTTTTGATCCAAATATGTCTAAAATCTTCATGCATTTATGGCTCGTTTTCTATGTGAACTTATTGACAGGACAGGAGAAATAAGAATCCTTTGACCAGTAAGGGATAAATATAGAAAGTGGAATACAGGTTTCCTTATATTCTATCTTCCTTCTTTAGGTTGTATTTGGAAGAAAACTATGACACATCTAATTTCTATTGTCTAGCAACATTAAGAATTCATTATATTCTCTGAATATTGGTTTAATTTCACATAAAATATGGATCAAAATATTAATGAGAAAATGGTTTTACTCAAAATTTGCATTTAATAATCATGATATATGGCTAGTCTTATGTGAATAAGTTAGTGATTATGGGTGATAATTACATATTTACATATTAATAAGAGATAAACTTGTCCAAAAGGAAGATTCTATATCCTGGTTTCCTTACTATTGTTAATGAAATAGATAACAGCTTTATATTTTGATTATATTTCATTGAGAATTGGTTTAAACATCATAGCCTAGGACAATCAACACTGCCTAACTATACAAGGAATTTCTCAGCAATTTTAAAGATTTTTTTTAACAGGCTTGAGGGAATTATGGCACTGAAATTATATGTAACATCATCTGTGTGATGTAGACATGCATTTTTTTTTTTTTGGTAGGGAGAGTCCGTAGTTTTCATCAGAGTACCAAAATGACTTAGGAATCAAAAAATTTTAAGAATCACAAATCCTGCTGCTGGTTTTTATGCTTGGCAAGTGACTGACACTAGAAGGAATTTTTTCCTTTTCTTTTTTTAGGAGTAGTTTTTCTTATACATTTTAAATCCCTTTTCCTTTCAATTTAAGATAAAGGAATAAGGTATTAAGGCATTTCTTTAATTTATACTGGTAATTTATTTTGAGGGAAGGGGGCATTAAGGTAAACAGGTCTGCAATTAAACCATATAAATGAATTGTGTATAAATAATATCAGTGAATTATGTACATATGGATAATGAACTCACATTTGATATCTTGAGTGTTTTCTTTGAGGTAGGTCAGATGATGTTAAAAAACTTCAAGAGATTAATTCCTTAGCTAGACCAGATTTTGTAAAATATTATTTGAAAGAGATAACTGAGTAGTACTTAGAAATACTTTTTCATATTTTTAATCCACATTAAATTACTTGCATGCTACCACTATAATTTGGTGCTATTTGAGGTGCAGATTTTTCACCAAAGAGAAAAATGCATGGCATTTTCTATAGGTGACTTGCAATTCAGGGAAGATTTTGGCACATTTTAAATAAAAGAATATCTAATTGGGAGAGGGGAGATATGAAGTGGAAGCAATCCTTTTCAAAAGTTGACCACAAAGACTAGTTAAATGTTTGTCACTATCTTCACAAGATCTTAATGAAGTTCTTGGCATATTGTAGGGTGCCCAATGATAGCTCTTATTATTATTACACAGATTCAACAGTGGCAAGAAACAGTATTCTGAATAATAGAAACTAGTTCCATTGAATTTTACTTACTTTAATTCAAGCATGGAGATAATTGCAGTATTATGCTGTAAACCACTAGAGAAAACTGTTTTTCACTCTTGAATGAAATTATAATCACTATATCTCAACTATTTTTTGAATGTAGCTTATTGTAAAAAAAAAAAACAAACTTTTGGACTGATTTTCTTACTGTATTGTTCTTCCATTCCTTCTCCAGTAAAATATATTTTAGCAAGTACATGTAATCAATTCTTTAAATAAAATATGAGTAAGAAAATCAATAAATGTTTGGATTTTGTATCTGACTTGATATCCCCCTTCCCTTTTAAATAATAATTCATTTGGTATAAACACATAATCAAATGAATTCACTCAAAGTGTCTTTAATGATTCCTTCCACTGTCATTACATCTTGTAACCTTTTCAGTGGATTCCTGCTTAAGTAATGCACCAGTTATGCCCTTGATAATTAGGAAATGTTCCAATTCAGCCAGCTTGTATTCCACGATCCTGAGGTTTACCAATATTCGTTTCTGTATTGTTATTGAGTGTGGGAAATTATTTAAGATATCCCGAGAGAGGTTGTTGACTGAAAGACTATCAGTATTGCTCCTAGGTGACCAAGAAGGAGAAGTTCTTACTAGTGCAAGAGAAGTCGAATTTGATGATGTTTCACCAGTGTTTCTCTGTAAAGGAAATTATACATATGTAGTTTATTGATTGTAGTAATTTCCAAATACTACCAAATAACAAGTTAGTTACAAAAATGAACTGACCTCCCCTAAGAGAGATTAAAAATGTGTTGAATGACCACATTGATTCAAAATATGTTCTGCCCAGACAGACTGAGAAAAAAAAAATATCAAAGTAGCCTTGTTGCTCCAAAGTGCTATATGCTTTTGCTTACACTTCTTGGGCAGTCCAGTGGGTTTACATGTAGATGCTGTCTTTGACCCTTATCTAAAAGTACTTCATTTGCAACTTGAAACCAGGAAGTCCATATTTAAACATGAAATACTGGTAAATGTCCAGAAAGCTCCCACAACGATGGCAGGAGAAGCAAACAGGAACACGGGGGTTGTAGAAATAAGAGAAGAAAAAGAAGTAGTTACAGATTCTTAAAATGGGTCATGGTGGTGGGGAATGGGAACTTTTAACTAAACATTTCTTTCCAAGTGGGTAGAAAGGTAACTATATCACTTAATGATTTGGAGCTATTTTATATCAGTCCACGAGGCGAATCACTGACCAAAATGCGGGAATTGCGGAGGATGAGGATCAGGAAGAAATAAAAGTCTGGAGCTTTGTGGAGAGAAAAGAGGAATGATGACATCTCCCTTTAATTCTTATTTTATTATCTTTCTAGAGTTTTGCAAACATACTCCCTGATCCACGTATTCACCTAGCTTCATCTAGGTCCAATCTCTTACATACATACACCTTTACCTGATGCCGTTTTTTCCATAAGACAATCAAAAAGGCGAAAGTAACGCAGCTCAGTAGAAGGAAAAACATGCTCATGGTTCTTCCTTGTCCACTTCTCTTTTCTCAGGACAGATGCACTCAGCTGGGCAGTTGGGAATCAGGGGGCCAGTAGCCACCCGGCCGGTGGAAACCACGGGCCAGAATGGTAGGTGCCTCTCACTACCTGGTGCGACTGGGATACGCAATTCCATCGAGCTTTATGTACTGGAATGGTGTGAGACCTCATAATCGGTACGCATGCACGTGGGAGTAATACACCACAATCTGATGACATAAAAACTAGCCTAGGAGGTACCTAGCAACCACCCACCTTGTTACTGTCTCAGGTCATTAGGAGAGTGAGAAATAATGAGGGAAATTGTGATTTCCAAGAATTTGAACCATTATAGATGTACAGACTCTAAATAGACTGGTTAAATATATGATATAAACAATGCTCTTCCCTCCTTTTTTCTTTAAAGTATGTCTTTCCTGCAGCCACTCCAAGTTTTATATCAAAAAGTTCAGATCTAGTGTGGTGGTGCATGCCTATAATCCCTGTGACTTGGGAGGCTGAGGCAGAAGGATCATAAATTTGAAGCCAGCCTTAGCCACTTAACAAGTACCTAAGCAACTTAGCAAAACCATTTCTCAAAAATAAATAAATAAATAAACAAATAAACAAATAAATAAAAGGGCTGGGGATGTGGCTCATTCAAACCCCAGTCATATTGCAATAGTTAAATACATGGTTTTTAAAATGTTATGGTTTAAACAGTGATTTTAGGCACATTTCTGTATATAAATCCTCATTGCAAGTTTGTATTAAAGGTATTTTTAATACCAGGCCTTTTTATTTGCAAATGAGGGAAAGATTCAGGTTTAAACTCATTCATAGCTAGTAGAAAAACAGGAATGCTTGGAGTTTTGAGTTCTGAGATAAACTCTTCCATTCCTTCACTCTCGTTCACATCCCCCAAACCTCCATCTCCACTCTGAGTTGTGTACATCAAATATTTGATATTTTCCAACAAAGAATTGAAGTGTATTTTGATTAGCATTAATGAGAGGCAACAGACACAGGAGTCATTGCACTAGAAATGTTAGATGTGTTCAAGAAATTTATTTAAATGTGGAAGAAAACACTAAAGAACCAGAACTAAAGACAATAACCAGGCAATCTCAGGGTGAATGTTAAACTTCAATCACTAACTCTGCTTGAGGAACAATTCTCACCTTCATATTGGTAGGAAGGAAAGGAATTGCATTTCATAAAATACTATTTTCTAATGATTGGTTCAAAGTTTAAAGTTTTATTAAATCAACAAATATGTACCTAATACCTATGTACTGGGCACTGTGTTATATTCTGGGAATAGGATCATGTGCAAAAATAAAGTCCACCTGGAATGTGTGCTCTAGTATGGGAGACAGATATTAACCAAATACAGAAATTAATGTAAAACTGCTGGAGTATGAATGATAGCAAGAAGTACATGGTGGCATGGGAACTTATAAGATATGGAATGTAAATAAGAGTAAGATCCTGGCTTTGTGGTTTAATCAATTGGGTGAAGTAACCAAGTATGGAGTTGCTGATCATGAATTTGGTTTGGGACATGTCAAGTATGAGCAATTCAAG